CCCGGACAGGTACAACAGGTATTCACTCAGAGGGGGGTAGTTACCCATTTACATGTCAAAAAGCAACATACAGTAGGCGGGTGGGGGGATGGTGAACGTTTACATTTCTCTACAGAATACATTTAATTTAAGGGGAGCAGTTACTGAGAAGTATATAATGAGAACTGCTACCAATGGTGGCCTATTTAGTTTATTAAGAAATACATATTTGTAGCTTTTTTTTTATCTGCAGTAGGAAATGCAGAGAGTAGCGACAGGGCTGGTCCAACCTGATCTGTAAAGTGATCTAACTAAGTGCTATTCATTTTCTTGACGGGGAAGTGCAGTGTAAATGGGGGGCTTATATGCATTTGAAAAGCAATATAAATCACACAGTTCGTATACAATAGGCATTAAAAGCACCATCGATAACCATTGCCCTTCTCCTATTCAAACCAAAAGAGAAAATGCAGATATTACACTCTGAAAAGAAAGGGTAGACATATCTGTACTCTTAGTGCCAAGTAGCTAAGCCAGTGGTTCCCAAACTTTTTGTGCCCAAGGCACACCAAAGGACAAGTAAAAATCTCAAGGCACACCTATTGTGCGAAATAGCCCTTATAACACGTGTTATCACTCATATCATGTAAAATATCTGTAAATGTGCATAATTATTTACTAATGCCCAGTGGCGGCGCCAGAGCATTTTTGTTGGGTAATCTATGGTAGGGCTAACCCATACAGTGGTGGTGCTCAAGTCAGTATTTGCAATGTAATTACAGACACGCTATATCGCCCCCCTTGACAGTGAAACGCCACGCGTGAGGTTTAGATTATTTCCCTGTCTCAATCAAAATGGAACTGTATGAAATAAAACGGCACATTTGTCTTGTAGTAAATAAAAAGGGATCACTGTGAACGTGACGTATGATAGTACACGTTGAAGATCCAATGGGGATACTGAATGGCGGTTTCGATTGATCTCAATCAATAAGGCATGACGCAGATCCAACGTTGCGTTGCTCTGATTGGCTGTAGGTCTATTCAAATTGCATTCGGAGGCATTTTGATCTGACCGCGGCCGCGCTGAGAATTTCCACACCTTTAGTGTATAAAACTCCCCCACTACTTAGACTATTCCTTGCACCCCTCTTATAGCATAAGCCCGAATGGTCTAAACCATATTGCATCAGTAACTTGCACTTGTTGTTACAGCAGGATCAGTTTGTGTGCTGTGGACATGACCCGTATATTTTCGCAATCCGTGTTCTCAACATTTAGCATTTCGCTTATTATTTAATTGAATTTGCATCACTTTTCATGGTGGGGCTAAGGTGGGGCTAAGCCATTTCTTGGTATGGCTGTAGCCTACCCCAGCCATACCCTGGCGCCGCCACTGCTAATGCCAAATAAAATGTGACAAAGACAACTATATTACTCATGAAATATTTATTAACGAAATATTTCAGAAATTAATTTGAAACTTTATCAAATTAGGCTTCATCAAAGCACAGGGATGAAACGTATACCAATATAATCTGTGGACTCTCAGGGCTCGACATTATAAATGGCCCTCTGGCCCGGAAGCATTATTTAGACACCGCGGCCAGCATAACGTACTTTCAACTCGCCCCACAGCTGTTTGCTGCGGAGCGCAGCGCGAGCAGTCTCCCGTGAGCGGGAGCGCACTCCTTCACTACATTCTCTCTCTCTCTCTCTCTCTCTCTCTCTCTCTCTCTCTCTCTCTCTCTCTCTCTCTCTCTCTCTCTCTCTCTCTCTCTCTCTCTCTCTCTCTCTCTCTCTCGCTCTCTCTCTCTCTCTATCTATAACTATCTATCAATATATCTATCCATCTCTCTCTCTCTCTCTCAATCTATCTCTCAATCTATAAGGAACCACAGTAGACAAAAGGCGTTGCTATAGCAACACGTCATGTTTATATGAAAAGGGGTGGGGTCAATATGACCCGCTGGGCGGAAATAGGTATAAATGGCAATTTTTTGGGCGATTTCTTCAATCTGACTTCATATTGACAATTTTTAACAACATAGGGTGCTACATAACACACTTTCAGGAAAAGTCACGGACTGGAAGACTTTAATATTTTATTGAAAAAAAGTTACACAGTTCTAGTGTTGTCCTCCAGCCTTCGATGTGTCACGGTCTTATAATTCCCACCTGCAACTGCGTTAACAGCGAAATATGGGGTTCTGTGAGGATTTTTTTTTAAATAATTGTTTTTAGGTATAGAGTTTGCCTCTGTATTATGAAATGAGTGCATACAAAGTACTGATATAGTAAATTAAAAAATAATTATGTTTGTGTAGTTGTATATTGCAAAAATAACGTATGGTTGTCACAAAATCCCACGGCACACCCGGACTTGCCTCACGGCACACCAGTGTGCCGCGGCACACCGTTTGGGAACCACTGAGCTAAGCTATTCATTCGCAGAAATGTAAAGTGATCTATCTAAGTTCTATTCATATTCTTGACGGGAAGAGTTAGTATACAATAGAGTTAGAGTTAGTATACTTTAAAAGCCTTCTCCAAATCAAACCAAGATATCTTGGGTATTCACTCAGAGGGGGGTCGGTCAACCGGGCAGAGTTTTTCGCCGGTCAACGTGTGTGAAAGTTTAAAGTTCAATCTTCCTTATTGAGCTTTATAACAAATGAATAACGACTATATATTATAATAAAACTATATATTGAGCTTTAAAACAAATGAATAACGAATGAATAACGACTATATATTATAGGAAATGAATAACGACTATATATTATAATAAAACTATATATTATTATAAAACTACATATATAGTTATATAATAAAACGACTATATATTATAATAAAATAAACACCGGCTGTTGTTATGCCTGCTGTAACGTTTACTTACTCCGTTCTCCGCTTAAGTAATTATGCCGTTACAAGCTTCATAGTTGTATTTATCATCTAAATTTGCCGAAACAAGTTTAATATTCTGAAAGCCAAGACTTTGTTTATTTGAAATCAGATGAAAACAAACTGTAACGAACCCATTTTATTCATATTCCGAGTCATAAAGACTTTATTTAAAATATACATTTATAACTAGTTTAGGTTGTTTGAGAGGTACAGCTACCATTCTTTAATTAGATGTTTGATAAGTGCATGCAGATCACATAGTAAAACACGTAGGCTACACAGATACATTATTTTGTATTTTTATTAAATTCGACAATGTCAATTTCACTTTCCACTATGTCCACCGTTGTTTTTCACAACCAATGGCAGAACTTTATTGAGGCCTGTAATTAGTCAACTACAGGTCTCTTGGGTCAGTCTTTTCTTCCAAAAAGCTTGTGACAAGATGTTATTGCTCTTGGGGCATTAAAAACAAGATTTTAACTTTAGTTTTTTATATAATATCTGCATTTCCTATTGTGAAAAACTAAGTCTTAGTTTGGCCATAGTTATTTAATATATAGCGCCATCTCCTGGTTAAACCCTGAAATTGGAGAATAGTGGGAGGGCCTAACATTCCTGGATACTGGTCTTTGGCAGGTCTTAGGCAGGTAACTGGCTGGCAGTAGGCAGGAAGCTGTATGCTGGTGTCCAAAATAAGATGCCCCATCTGTATATTTCTGGCCTACCTGCCTGTCAGCCTTCCATCTGTGCACAAACTTATCTCGTGCCCTCATTGGTCATGTGCGCGTTCGTGTGTGTTGGAGGAGGGGCTCTGTGGCAGATTTTCTCCGGTCGTGTATTTTCAAATTCTAGCGATCTCGAGCCGGTTTCTCAAACTTACATACACTACCTTTAATTATTTTATTGAACAATTATTTGTTTCATTGAAGAACGAAAACAGGAATGTTGAGTTAAATATTACTCATCCTCCCCAACCCCACTCATTAATAAATGAACAAAAATGCACCCCCCATCCAAAAATCCCCACAAAGTCCCATTCAACATGTTAAATGAAAAGAGCCCTTCTCCCTCCACAAAGTGCCATTAAACATGTGAATCTTCCTTCAAGCAATCCTCTGCATTTTTGCTAAACCCTTTCAGTCAACGGGCTCTTCCTGGGCCTCATCAACATCACACTCTGAGTCTTCCTCTTCAGTGTCACTGTCCAGCCTTGTTGAGGATGGCTCTGTGTCAGGCTCAAAGAGCCTTAGGTTTGCCGAATGCCAACCAGTTTTTCCACTCTCACATTTGTGAGCCTGTTGCGAACCTTTGTGTGGTCTCAATAGCCACGCAGTAAGCAGTGTGCTATGGCATGGATATTCAAGTGTATACTTGAATGGCATCTGTTTGTTTTAGTCAAGATTATGCTAAAATATACTTTCCCCAACTATATTTAAGTTCCTAAGAGCCAACCTTCAATTTTGAAAATTCCCAGTTTATTCCCATAAATTCCCATTTATTCCAATGGAAAGTTTCCATCTTTGAAGATTCCCGGAATTTTGCAACCCTATGCGCGAGTCATGGTAAAATATCTGGATTAAGAGGTTGCTTTTTCTTTGCACAGCATGAAAGAAAGGCCAAATTAATGGGCTGTGATTTTAGTATTTTTAAGCAGAGGTCAATAATTTGTACGGCCCTCGGAGGATGTTGTACAAATTGAAATGGCCCTTGAGAGGAAAAAGGTTCCCCACCCCTGATTTAAAGCATGTGTTGTTTGTTAATGTAGGTACTGTATGTACAGTCATTATTGCTATCCATACAGACATAGTTTTACCATGCTAAATGGTGCTGTATTTCTAAAGTGTTTAAACTATCTTACAATATAAATGTAGATGTACAGTACGTCTCACAGAGAGGAGGAAGATAACGTTTCCACTCGCTGCTGCAGTTCAACTCATAGCTGCTGCTTTAGTTTTTTCACCTCCTTAAATGATCTTGTGGGCTCTCATCATGATTAAATTACGTTGCAATTTTGTTTTACCAGAGTTGATGAGAAGTCACATACCCATACAGTTAGCTATGGCTTCCACTAGATGGTGTTATGTTAGAATAAGGTAGTGAAGTGAACTCACACACTGAAGGGGAGGGAGAGTTCTCAAATCCTTTCACAGCACAGGAATAGCTGTCTTGAAAACTCAAGTCGACTTGAAGAGAAGGAGATGTCCCTGTTTGAATCTTTTCACCGTTCTTGTACCAGACGTAATCATTATCAGGTAAATCACAACTGCTCTGACACTTCAGGTTTGCTCTGCTAGAATCGTTGCTTTCCACCTGCACCGAGAGATCTGTATTTGTGAAGAAGGAACAGGAAGGTTATTTAAGAATAAACTCCCAATATTCATGTATATGAAAACACATCACATTTATATTATTGTTTTCTTAAAGTTGAATATTTGAAAATGATTGGCATGAATGAAAATGTTACCTGTGAGAGACAAAGTGACTCCAGGTGAACCAAAATATCTTCCACCTTTTTGGTTTGTTTCAAACCTGAACATGTACTCAGCTGAGTCGCTCTCTCTCAGGTTTCTGATTCTCAGAGTGCAGATGTTGTTTTCACAGAGATTCTCTACACGACCTGCATACTCTGAGTCTGTGGTCAGAGCTAAACGTTGACCACCTTTCTGTTTAAACCAGAATGTTTTCTCCACTGTGTTAACACTGCCTTTCCATCTGGATGGGTATGTGTAGCTGCATCTTATCTCCACTGTTGATCCTTTCACTGCACAGATCTCAGTAGAAGAGTAAGTCACTCCCCAGTCATCCAGACCCTGAACCACTGAAACACAGAGCACATCAGAAACATTCATCAGACTCGTCAGACTTTCTTAGCTTTATCAAACACATCTTTTTATCATTTCATATTATATTAATTTACATAGACGGGAATGTTCTGATGTTTGTTTCTAACTGGGTTTATACTTTTAAAAAGTCTTAATGTAGTTTCCAGTGAACAGAGGGATCTAAAACATATATAATGTTGACGTAGGACATCATGCTGCAGTGTATTTAACCTTTAACGCAGTATTTACTTGATAAATACTCAGATAAATACTTAGATTTCGAACCTTAGAAAAAGATGAGAATAACATATTAGAGGGTGTGGATCAGAACAAAGAGTCTTCTTTCCTGGCTTGCTTTTCTCTCAGTGATCAGGCTGCTGCAGGGCGTGAATGGAAACTTCAAAGAAAAGCAGAACATTGAGGCGTGTGATACTAAGATAACAAATGACTGACAGAGAGGTTATTTTTAAGTGTTGGACTCCTAATTGCTTGCAAAAGTCGACACAAACGTTGCATGTTGCACCTAGGTCTCCTCATTGTCAGGTGAAAGAAAGCATCTGACTTCTCTGCAGAAATTAGATATTTATAAAAGCTACAATATCCACTAAACCACATGAGTATTTATGTAAATGAATGAAAACTTTATTACAGACTCAGGGTCCAGATAAAAGACAAGGCATTACATATAATAAATTACATACACAGCATTAACAAAATTCATAGTTTAAGAATAAAAACTATTCTTAAACTATGTAAAGTCATGTTTCTAAATGAATCCTAACATAAATCCAATGTTCAGTCTTGTTTTGTCAGATAAATACTACTATTTCACCATCTTTTTGCTGCAGTAAGTTTGTCTATCCTTATTTCGGTAATGCCTGAAGTGTAGAGTTTTGAGAGGTCTTATCATTGAAGAAAGCTGCATATAGCACCTTGCGTTGATAGGGAGTTACAGCGCTAACTTGTTACTGTGATCGCCCCGGTTCCTTTTTTGCATGTCATACCCAGATCTCTCTTCCTGTTTCCAGTTAGTCTTTATACTTTTCACCGTCCAATGGAGGCAAAAAATGAATAAAATGCAAAAGCTACGATCATGTACATGCATGCAAACAGACCTTCATGCATTCACGGACACACACCTTCAAACACACTTGACTTTCATGCAAAATGTCGGCCTCCTAGGGCCAAAACTGTGGCCGCCATAAAGTGAGAAAGAGCGATCCGTTGATGGGCGCAGGCAGATTGAAGTCAGATGATTATTCATTAGTGACTTTTTATCCACGTTGCAACTCCTACCGTAAGTTTCTTATATGAATTACATTATCAAATACAGCTACTGAATGTATAATGCTGAGAAACACTTGCTAAAGTTAAGTGGTGAGGACTGCAGGAGGAAAGAGGAAGTTCAACAGAGCGATTAATTTTAATTAACAATGATTTAAATTTAAAAAAGTGTTGTTTTGTAATATTTACAGTCATTATTTCCATCAACACAGACATAGTTTTACCATGCCAAATGGTGCAAACACTCTGTATTTCTGAGCTGCATCAACTATCTTACAATATAAATGTAGATGTACAGTACCTTGTACAACGAGAAGGAAGACGAGAAATCCTCTCGCTGCTGCTGGTAGACTCATAGCTGCTCCTCACGTCTCTGATAAACCATCAGGTAGATCACATACAGGAGAAATACTGTTTGTCAGTGAGTCACCAAAAAACGTTTGTACATCGAGTAGGGTGTTTTCTCTGTCACTCGTACAGCTGTGTTAAAAATATATCAATGTGTTAAAAACTGCCCTTGTTTCCTTCCTCTTAACAGTTACAACACACAAGAGACGGTAAACATAGTTAAAATGAAGAACTATGTGGTTTTGCCAACAATGCATTAACTTGTTAACATATACAGTATGAAAATGGCTGACTGACAGCTCAACATTGCCATCCTTAAAGCCACAATGTGTGTAAAAACATGAACGAATACGCTGAATGGTTGGTTTATCAGTCAGGTGGGATTTCAGGTGTTTCAAACATCAAGTCATCATATCCAGTGCCCAGGTTGAGCCAATCCAAAAACCACACCTCATCAATCCAGATATTTAGCATCCTCTTCACCCACATCCTCATCAATAAAGATCTTCAACATCACCACCAATGCCTACTCCTATTATACTCACGGCTGCACTATGCCCTCAAGATATACGCTTTTAGGATTGGGGTCTTATCACCAAAGACTTTTAACATTTCTATCATATCGTGCATGGGTCAATATATGTTCTTTACGGACAAAAATAGGTCTCTCCTGATTGAAAGAATAATAGTAGCCTAATCTAGAACACAAATGTATCACTTTGGGTCCTTTTTCACAAACACAGAGCACATGAGAAACGTTAGTCAGATTATATTTTGTAAAGATGTACCCCTGCCCTCTACAGTCAAACCTTTGTAATGTTCTGTGATGGAAATTTCCAGATGTGAGAGAAATCCTGTATTTAAATAATTAGCAAATAACGAACTCCTGGTGCCTCACTGAATGTGAAGATGCCGTCCACTTACAGATAATTAGATTAGGTTATATTCAACTTTATTGTCATTGCACAGAGTACAACAACATGTTTGCATTCAGTGAATGAGGTTACAGTAAATTCACATAACAAACAGTGTTAGTAATGTACATAAATGTTTAATATTAATAAGTAACTTTGGATCATTTTATTTTATTTAATCGTTTATTTGACACGGACAATGCACAGCAATGAAGACTTAAAACATTAAAATGTGTCAAGCGTAACAGTGCCAGATTTATCTTTAAGCTAATTTCCATCTGCAGTCCCTCACATAAAACATTTAAGAAGATTACATTTTACAAACGTAGCAAAAACAAAATACATGATATGCAAAAAGTGCAAAAGAGCAAGAGCAGCAAACACAAGTATTTACCACATGGTAGTACAATATAGCAGCTACGACATATAAAGTGCAAGAAAAGATAAAAGTGCTACATAAAGTGCAAGAGGAGATACCCCTGTGTTAAAGTGCATTTAGCGGTGATTGCACGTCTGTTTGTTTCTCAACCATTCTTTGAGTTGACCTTTGAAGCTATTGAGAGTGGGACAATCCCGTATCTCAGTTGGGAGGCTGTTCCACAAAGAGCTGCCTTTAATGGAGAGGACATTTTGTCCAAAAGTGGTCCGTCTGTGGTGGACTTCACAGTCTCCTCTGGTTTCTGACCTAGTGCAGCGTCCAGCATGGCCGTGGGAAGTATGGGTGCTGAGAGTGCTGCAGCACCCCCTGATGGAGGACAGAGAATCTGCACGTCCACAAGATTAAATGGAAATATAATACAAATATTTACAAAAAAACTAATTTTCAGCCTTGATGTAACATTCCTGAAGAAATTGCTAGTGGGAATGCTTTATGCTGAAAAGCTGACGCTAAACTGCTATGCTGAAGTGTAATGTGTAAGAAGAAAGTGAAGAATTTAGATTGAAATGATACATGAACACTGGGGGCTTGAATGTGTGATGAGTGAAGAAAAGAAAGTAAAAAGGCTTGGAAAAGCAGCAGAATATTTGAACTGCAAACTTTTGAACTAACTTGATGGCGAATGATCTGTCGCCATGGCAACGGCATTTGATGACACCCCATAATATGCTTAGATGCGTTGATGGCTGCATCGTTACCAAACATGTGAAGTTTTGGGCCGTTTGGAACATTTTCACTGAAGTTATGAGAAAACCGTGTTTCATGGCGAGCATTGTGTTGCCATGGCAACGGCATTTGAAGAAACCCCATAATTGACGTAGAGCTGTTGAGGGCTGGACCGGTGATATACAAGCGAAGTTTGGGGGACGATCGGACCGTTTCCATTGGACTTACAGCGACATCGTGCTTCATGGCGAGTGGTCTGTCGCCATGGCAACGGCATTTGATGACACCCCATAATACGCTTAGATGCGTTGATGGCTGCATCGTTACCAAACCTGTGAAGTTTTGGGCCGTTTGAAGCATTTTCACTGAAGTTGGGTTGGTATGTGAAGCTGCATCTTATCTCCACTGATGATCCTGTCACTGCACAGATCTCAGTAGAAGAGTAAGTCACTCCCCAGCCATCCTGACCCTGAACCACTGTAACACAGAGCACATCAGAAACATTCATCAGACTCGTCAGTAGACAGACTCTTAGCTTCATCAAACACATCTTTTTACTATTTTATATTATATTAATTTACATAGACAGGAATGTTCTGATGTTTGTTTCTAACTGGGTTTATACTATACAAATGTTTTAATGTTGTTTCCAGTGAACAGAGGGATCAAAAACATATATAATGTTGACGTTGGACATCATGCTGCAGTGTATTTAACCTTTAATGCAGTATTTACTTGATAAATACTCAGATAAATACTTAGATTTTGAACCTTAGAAAAAGATGAGAATAACATATTAGAGGGTGTGGATCAGAACAAAGAGTCTTCTTTCCTGGCTTGCTTTTCTCTCAGTGATCAGGCTGCTGCAGGGCGTGAATGGAAACTTCAAAGAAAAGCAGAACATTGAGGCGTGTGATACTAAGATAACAAATGACTGACAGAGAGGTTATTTTTAAGTGTTGGACTCCTAATTGCTTGCAAAAGTCGACACAAAGGTTGCATGTTGCACCTAGGTCCCCTCATTGTCAGGTAAAAGAAAGCATCTGACTTCTCTGCAGAAATTAGATATTTATAAAAGCTACAATATCCACTAAACCACATGAGTATTTATGTAAATGAATGAAAACTTTATTACAGACTCAGGGTCCAGATAAAAGACAAGGCATTACATATAATAAATTACATACACAGCATTAACAAAATTCATAGTTTAAGAATAAAAACTATTCTTAAACTATGTAAAGTCATGTTTCTAAATGAATCCTAACATAAATCCAATGTTCAGTCTTGTTTTGTCAGATAAATACTACTATGTCACCATCTTTTTGCTGCAGTAAGTTTGTCTATCCTTATTTCGGTAATGCCTGAAGTGTAGAGTTTTGAGAGATCTTATCATTGAAGAAAGCTGCATATAGCACCTTGCGTTGATAGGGAGTTACAGCGCTAACTTGTTACTGTGATCGCCCCGGTTCCTTTTATGCATGTCGTACCCACATCTCTCTTCCTGTTTCCAGTTAGTCTTTATACTTTTCACCGTCCAATGGAGGCAAAAAATGAATAAATGCAAAAGCTACGATCATGTACATGCATGCAAACAGACCTTCATGCATTCACGGACACACACCTCAACAAACACTTGACCTTCATGCAAATTGTCGGGCTCCTAGGGCCAAAACTGTGGCCGCCATAAAGAGAGAAAGAGCGATCCGTTGATGGGCGCAGGCAGATTGAAGTCTGATGATTATTTATTAGTGACTTTTTATCCACGTTGCAACTCCTACCGTAAGTTTCTTATATTAATTACATTATCAAATACAGCTGCTGAATGTATAATGCTGAGAAACACTTGCTAAAGTTAAGTGGTGAGGACTGCAGGAGGAAAGAGGAAGTTCAACAGAGCGATTCATTTTAATTAACAATTATTTAAATAAAAAAAAAGTGTTGTTTTGTAATATTTACAGTCATTATTTCCATCAACACAGACATAGTTTTACCATGCCAAATGGTGCAAACACTCTGTATTTCTGAGCTGCATCAACTATCTTACAATATAAATGTAGATGTACAGTACCTTGTACAACGAGAAGGAAGACGACAAATCCTCTCGCTGCTGCTGGTAGACTCATAGCTGCTCCTCACGTCTCTGATAAACCATCAGGTAGATCACATACAGGAGAAATACTGTTTGTCAGTGAGTCACCAAAAAACGTTTGTACATCGAGCAGGGTGTTTTCTCTGTCACTCGTACAGCTGTGTTAAAAATATATCAATGTGTTAAAAACTGCCCGTGTTTCCTTCCTCTTAACAGTTACAACACACAAGAGACGGTAAACATAGTTAAAATGAAGAACTATGTGGTTTTGCAAACAATGCATTAACTTGTTAACATATACAGTATGAAAATGGCTGACTGACAGCTCAACATTGCCATCCTTAAAGCCACAATGTGTGTAAAAACAGGAACGAACACGCTGAATGGTTGGTTTATCAGTCAGGTGGGATTTCAGGTGTTTCAAACATCAAGTCATCATATCCAGTGCCCAGGTTGAGCCAATCCAAAAACCACACCTCATCAATCCAGATATTTAGCATCCTCTTCATCCACATCCTCATCAATAAAGATCTTCAACATCACCACCAATGCCTACTCCTATTATACTCACGGCTGCACTACGCCCTCAAGATATACGATTTTAGGATTGGGGTCTTATCACCAAAGACTTTTAACATTTCTATCATATCGTGCATGGGTCAATATGTTCTTTACGGCAAAGAATAGGTCTCTCCTGATTGAAAGAATAACAGTAGCCTAATCTAGAACACTAATTTATCACTTTGGGTCCTTTTTCACAAACACAGAGCACATGAGAAACGTTAGTCAGATTATATTTTGTAAAGATGTACCCCTGCCCTCTACAGTCAAACCTTTGTAATGTTCTGTGATGGAAATTTCCAGATGTGAGAGAAATCCTGTATTTAAATAATTAGCAAATAACGAACTCCTGGTGCCTCACTGAATGTGAAGATGCCGTCCACTTACAGATAATTAGATTAGGTTATATTCAACTTTATTGTCATTGCACAGAGTACAACAACATGTTTGCATTCAGTGAATGAGGTTACAGTAAATTCACATAACAAACAGTGTTAGTAATGTACATAAATGTTTAATATTAATAAGTAACTTTGGATCATTTTATTTAATTTAATCGTTTATTTGACACGGACAATGCACAGCAATGAAGACTTAAAACATTAAAATGTGTCAAGCGTAACAGTGCCAGATTTATCTTTAAGCTAATTTCCATCTGCAGTCCCTCACATAAAACATTTAAGAAGATTACATTTTACAAACGTAGCAAAAACAAAATACATGATAATGGCAATACAATATAGCAGCTACGACACATAAAGTGCAAGAGATGATAAAAGTGCTACCATGTAAACATTTATAAAAAAAGCACATACTTATAAAAGACTTAAAATTGTCTAAGCTCAAGAAATGGTGTTTCTCAAGGATGGTACAGTGGTGGTATGAATGTGGCTTTCTGTCAAACACCTTGATAGCTCTCTTGTACAGCTGTTCTATGGGTTTGTGGCACAAGCAAACGACCAGTTTGTAAAACAGTATTCAATGTGGGATAGAATCATACAGTGGAGGTATGACTTTGCAGCATTGACACTTAAGAAATGTATAATTTGTTTAACATTTTGCAATTTGTATGCTTCTAAATGTGTATTTAGAAGCATACTGTACACATACAAGGTGCAGGCTTTAGGCATTTATGAGTTAAACACAGATTTAATAAACAGTAAATAATGATGTGCTAGTTTCACAGGAGTCTTCACTTCAGAACCATGACACAGTCAGAAGCCAGATTATTACATGTATAAAATGTCATTTATGCTCAAAAGTTATTGAGTTTATTTAAATCAGCTTTCTAAATATAAAGGGAATAATAGAGATGGGTAATTATTCAACATTGAAGGATTCAGGTTCTGATTTTAAGGAACTGTATGTGGGGGGAGAAATAACTGATCATCAGCACATCAATTTGCAATCAAATTGAATGTATTTTTTAAGATGATTTACAGAGTGTTAAAACATCACATGGATGATTTAAGATGCTTTATTCTATAGAGTACTGATAGCATCATAATTCATACAGACGACACATTCAGCCAAGGGCGACATAGAAATATAAATATTCACATATTCAATGTTTGTTTATAAAAATTAAAAAACTAAAAATAATATGCAAACGCACAGTGAGTCAATGGCTTACAGTGCAGACCTAGGTTGCATCAAATTACCATTATGGACATTATAAAAGCTTTCAAATATTAGTCTCATGGCAAGACTAGTATTCAGCTAACTCCACAGCACTGTAAACGTTGTTGAGTCATACTGTGACTCTGAAAATGATTTTTCTCCATCTCCTAACACATATTCTGCTCTTTCCTCTCCAACCTGTGAAAGCTGTGTTGTTCACTCTCAGTGCTTTCGGCTTGACAAATATATTTACCTGTTCAGAAACATTTTGTCTAAAACTTTCTGCACAGTGGCGCCTCCTGCGGGAGTGAGAGGGGACTGAAATGATGTTCAAACTAACAAAAGTTATTAGGGAAGCTCTCTGTTTCTTCCAATCAGCCACTGCAACATCTAAAGTGTGCCATCTGGTGAGGTGTCTTTGAAATGTTTACAATAAACAGTGCATGTTGTAAAATGTGATGCTTCACATTAGCTCTTCCTGTTGCTCAGAGTCTTCAGTCTGTGCTGCTGAGATGGACTTGAAGCCTGAGACATGTTGGTACTCAGGACCAGAGTCCAGCTGATGGGGAGAAACAACAAAATGACTCAATTTAAAACAGGCTTTCTGTTAGATTTTATCTAAAAATGTATTATAAGTTTAATAAACCACATTTCTTTCATGATTCTCTAACCTTCACACTGTGCACAGGGTCATTCGCTTCATTGGGGGAGTCCAGAGTTTTCTTCTTCCTGGATTTAATTTGTCAAGCAAAACAATTTAGAAATCTTGAAAATAAATATATCTTACAGTCTTACAACGCTATTAATTGCCTTACAAAAAAGACAGAACTGAGAGATGTAAGGTAGGTCTTACATTATGTCCACAAAGACAAATTGTTTAAAAGGTGAAATTGTTTACCTCCTGCAACAACACAGAAGAAGAACAGCTATCAGGATCAGAGCCAGCAGCGTCACAATTATGACTACAATAATAATTATTATTATAGGTTTACCTAGAAATACAGAAAGACATGCATTAATTTAATGGTTGCCTTAATAAATCATTTTTTCAGTAAACCCTTAAGATTCTGACAGAACATTTTAAATCTTCTTATTCATTTTCAGATCGGTATAAACATCATTGGTGTTTGTAATGTCCTGCAGAAATAATGCATTAAAAAAACTGGACCACTGAAGGTATAAAGAAGGGACATTAACGTTACCATGGCGTTTATAACAAGGCAGCTTGAGTTTTTGTCACTTAACGGCACTATAGGATATTATTAGATAGTTACTTAAGTATAAAGAAGACATTGACGCAACGCTGACAAAGTAACCTACTGAGATCAAGTAAATGATGTTAGGAAAATTGTTCCATCTATCAAATATCAGCATTCACACATAAGTAGGATAATAAATAATCTTTGTGTGGCTTTGCAAGTCACATTAAATTACCCGGGGCAAGAGTCAGACAGATGGTGGCGTTTTGACGTCCTAACTTGTTCTGGGCTCCACAGGAATAACTCCCACTGTGTTCAGCTCTGAAGTCAGTGATGCTGAAGATCTGTCCTGAAGCTTTTGGAGAGTCTTCATTCTCCTTGTACCAGGTGTAGTTAGCTGCTGGGTTAGCATCACTGCTACAGGTCAGAGTCACTGAACTGCCCTCCTCTATCTCAGCAGAGGGACTCACTGACACAGAGGGGAGCTTTGGACCATCTGGAGGAGATAGAAGAACGATCTGGAATTAGCACAGGAAGAAGAAAACCTCAACATTGTTTAACTCAACAGACTTATTATAAATCAAATAGAGGTGGTGTTTGTTTCTTGGCTGTGTTTTACTCACATTGCACATTAATAAAGATGTTTTCAGATTTCCTCCTCCCCAGATCATTCTCAGCTGAACAGTGATACTGTCCCGAGTCAGAGGACTGGATGGAGCTGAAGACAAGCTGTGGTCCTTCAATAACAGGTTTAATGTATGGACTTCCATTCTCCTTGTACCAGGTGTAGTTAGCTGCTGGGTTAGCATCACTGCTACAGGTCAGAGTCACTGAACTGCCCTCCTCTATCTCAGCAGAGGGACTCACTGACACAGAGGGAAGCTTTGGAGGATCTGGAAACGATGATACGACAAAGAAAGTCATTTTAATATACCAAAGAATGATTTTAATATATTACCCAACCACCAAACTTGCCGTTTATCACAGACTGAATGTATTGTACCAGGAACATATTTGACACAGACAAGGTGAAGTTAAATTATTGTGTCTTTCTTCAGCAGTGGCGAGCCGTGAGCTTTATACCTAGGCCCTCTGACCCCCACCCCTTCCCTCGAAAAAAAAGAAAAAAAAAGAGTTATTACGTCACAGCGTATACTTCAGCGGAATATCAAAACAACGGCCCAGGGTGCAAAACGCATCAATGACAGCGACCCTCTACCACACAAAACAACACCTGTGAACCCAATTTGTGTTCTTTGACATTGAAAATGATATTGCATTGTGTTTGTTACTTTCGTATGTCTTAAGTGTAATTTGGCATGCTTTTATTTTGAAGGCGAGTTCACGCTGTTGACAGGAAGTTGTTGTTGCTATGGAAACAAGAAAAGTTTCACAGCGGGCGGAACTCGTCATAAAGTCCGCGATAATAAAACCCACCCATTTAGAGGGAAGATATGATTGGTCAATTGTACTGTCATTTGACATTACTCTCTCGTTCAGTTACTATAGCGGGCCCTCTGTGAATCGCAGAGAGGCCCGCTATAGTAACTGACATTCAAACAGAGACTGAACAGGCAGATTCGAAGGATTTATTTCTTTGGAAATGTTATTTTATTAAATCAAGTTTTTTTTCGGTAAAACTAATGAAAAATATAACAAAAATAATATTAAAAATATATATATTTAAAAAAAATATATATTTTTTTAATGTTTTTAAATATTATTTTTTGGAATATCTTAGGCCCTCACAGAGGGCCTAGAGGGCCCTGACGGCTCGCCACTGTTCTTCAGATTTTTCATGATATTTTGTCACTGACACACTTTTGGAAACTCACAGACTGCAGGAGAACGGTGACTCTCGTATCCTTTGAAAGCACAGGAGATGATGTCTCCAGGATGAATCTGGCCTCTGAAAGAAAACGTTTCTCCTCTCATGATCTCTCCGTTCTTGAACCAGACGAAAGAGAGCCGGCTGGCTGGACTGCAGCTGCTGAGACACTTCAGCTCAGCCTCGTTAAAGGACGGATGCACTGACACTTTACTCACCCTTATCTGCAGAGCTGGGTATTTAAAGAGGGAAAAGAGATTACACTGGTATTTAAATACTCTTTTGGCCAAACACAGAACAAATTATAAGTTGCAAAGTAATGCATGATCCATGTTGACTTGAGCAACTTTGGGCTAATTTGCTTTCATAACATGTTTTCTTTCAGAATAGTGGAAAGAAAATATACAATCGAAATCGAAAATGCACATTTAAGTGTTTATTTTACTATCTTTGTCAATTTGGGTCTGTAGATTTCCCCTGATTTCAACAAAAGTTGACATAACATAATGCTTAATTTCCATATTTAAACATCACATTGCAGAAAACCTTTAATACGAAATATAATTGTTTTAATACAAGTTATCAATTGGGAACGTTTAATTGAGATATTTATTAGTTAAAAAGATGCTCTTTTGACCTGGAATGTCTCTTTATAAGTTGAAACAACAAAAATCAGTCAGCAGGTTTACATTAAACTGATCCACAGGTTATATTGAAAAGTAGTGTGCATGTGTTTGGATTAAATGTAATTGGTTGAGTTGATCAGTACCTGTGACAGTCAGAGTGGTACCAGGTAAATCACTCCTCCATTCAAAGCGCTGCGCTCTGAATTTGAAGCGGTACTCGGCCGAGTCGCTCTCTCTCAGGTTGCTGATGCTCAGGGTGGCGAGTCCTCTCTCTGTTGCAACTGCCCCGGATGTCCTGAACTGAACACGACCTGCATACTGAGAGTCTAGACTCAGCTCCTCCGGCTCTGAGGGATTCCTCCACTGATGGCTACGTCCAGGATTGAACCAGAATCTGGACGCGACATATAAACCTGCTTCATTTCCAAAGTAACTGCAAGAAATGTCAACTGATGAACCCTTGAAGGCACAGATGCTTCTCTCGGTGTAGGACACTATGTTGCAGTAATTATTATGGACACCTGCAAGAGGAAAAATATATAAACACCATGAAGACATGGTGCATAAAAAGTAAAAAGTGCAAGTAATGAAAAGATAACTTACACATGGGGCGAGATGCAAAACTCTCCAGTCCTCTTACAGCACAGGCAAAACTGTCTTTGTAAGCAAAGTTATTTACGTAAGATATTCCTTCCTTTGTCTGCCCATTGATCGAACTCCGTCCAGTTAAATACCAGAAGTAGGAAGGTAGAGGTAGTTGACATGTTGTGTCACAAAACAGCTCTGCATGGACACTGTGCGTGCTGACTTTGTACTTCTGTACCCTCACCTGGAGAGCTGTATATGAAGAAAATTGACATTTTAGACTAAGACTTTTTTATAAGCTTGGTTTTCATTCAATCATAAATTTTTGGCCCAAAATCCGACAATTTTCCCAAACTAAGCTAAGGCATGAAAAAAAGTCGCTGAAACAGAGAGCCACTGTGATTCCCCATCTGCGACATGTGTACTACACAGGGCATTTACTCCTAGTAGTATTCATACAGTTATTCCCCCTTCACTAAAATGTGTGCTATACATATGATATGGTAGTATTCGTACTGTTATTCCCCTCTGTGTGCTACAGGGCATATGCTTCCAGATTGTTTTGTGTGTATTGCCAGGCTCTCCAGCGTTCAGTTCATATTTGACCAGTAATCCCATCTGCCCGTTTCTGACCCTGCCTGCCTGATTTTGGACCCCCTGATTGGATTTGTTTGCCTCATTGCTGGATATCCTGGTTTTGATCATGCCTGCATCTGACTTTAAAGGGGACCTATCATGCAAAATGCACTTTTGTACGTCTTTTATACATGAATATGTGTCCCCGGTGTTCCAGGGAACTCACCAAGTGTCAGAAAACACAACCCTCTCTATTTTCCTCCATACCCAAATCTCTAAAAAAGGGGCTGCAACGGATCTGATAAAAACTGATCCAGATTTGAACACTGTCCTGACGTCAGGACAGTGGCGCTACGGCTATTGGGCCAACTCCACCAATCAGGAGGAGACAGCCACAGCCATTGCCGTTCGAAAGCGCTGGAGACGCTGTAGTACATATGCCAGGCCAGTAGATGGTGCTGTTCTCACTGAATCTGCCCTTGCAAAAACAGAGCTAGAAATTGTCAAATTGAGCAAAATGAGGCATGGCTAAAATGCATGATCTGTTTGGTAGTATAAATATGCCTTATATAGGTATGGTCCTACACTATATTATTCAAATATAGCATGATAGGTCCACTTTAAGTAAATTGAACTTCTTGAATATTCTGTCTATTTCCGTCGTGCTTTTGGGTTTAGGCCCGTACCTGTGAACATTACAGGCTATAAAGTGAACAGCACTACTCATATATTAAGGCATACAGTATAGCACATTCCCAAGACTGTTTCCAAGACAAAATGATCCATTTACATTTGAAAATGTTACCTGTGACAGACAAAGTGACTCCTGGTTCACCGGTGTATCTTCCATTTGGTTGGTTTGTTTCGATCCTGAACTTGTACTCAGCTGAGTCGCTCTCTCTCAGGTCTGAGATTCTCAGAGTGCAGATGTTGTTTTCACAGCGATACTGCACACGACCTGCATACTCTGCATCTGTTGTCAGATCCACCGGGGCCATATCAGTCCCTTTAGTGAACCATAATGTTTCTGTTACTGTAGTTTCACTGTCATTTATCCTGGACGGGTGTGTGTAGCTGCACCTTATTTCCACCGTTGATCCTTTCACTGCACAGATCTCAGTAGAAGAGTAAGTCACTCCCCAGCCATCCTGACCCTGA